AAAATCAGTGAAACAAACCATCAGGTGAGAATTTAAAAAAGAGAGAGAGAAAGAGACCCAACTCTGTACTGTCTGCAAGATTCCCACTTTAAATATTGACAGATATACCATCCAAACACTAATCCAGACTTTTTTTTTAATCCTCACCCGAGGATATTTTTCCATTTATTTCAGATAGAGTGGGAAGGAGAGAGAGAGAGAGAGAGAGAGAGAGGCATCAGTGCAAGAGAGACACATCGATTGGCTGCCTCTCACACGACCCTGACCAGGGCTAGGGACCGAGCCACAACTGAGGTACGTGCCCTTGGCCGGAATCGAACCTACAACTCATCGATCCATGGGCCGATGCTCTAACCGCTGAGCTAAACCGGCCAGAGCTAATCCAGACTTTTTAAAGCAGAAATTATAATGACCTGTTACAGAGTTTATAATGTATGTAGAAAAGGCTAAGCTAACCAGTCAATGATTGCCAGAAGTCAGGGTTAACTGTAAAGGGGCATACGGAACTTTTTGGGGTGATAGAAATGTTTCATGTCTTGACTGTTGTGTGGTTACATGGATGTATACACTTGTCAAACTCATCCAGTTGTGCATTCAAAATGATTGCAATAAAATTCATATTTTAAAATGAATACAGTTGATTTTTAAAAGTAAAGGAAAATAAGAAAAGACAATTTTCTTCAGATACTCTGAACTTTCTAGCAATTAAGTAAAAAGGAAATTCAGCAGGTTATATTGGCGTTTTCTAAATGCTGGCCTGAAGACCAGACTGTGTACAATTGGTTTCTGATTTAGTAAATCTGAAGTGAAGCTCAAAAAGTTCTTTCTTTTCTTTTTTTCTTTTTTCTTTTAATGCACAGCCAGGCTTGGGAGCTATTTAGTTACATAACTCTCATTGTCTTTATTATAGGAAGTGTGCCAGTTGTTCAGGAAGAAAATCCCATTTAGAGTAAATGAAACTTTTTATCCTAAAATCTCATGTTCTCAATATTTTTGGTCAGAGAATATATCAACTCGTACTTGGTCTGCACTCTCCTGAAGGTCACTTACTCATGTTTCTCCCCACAGTATCTGTGGATTCTCCTCAGAATGAAAAATGTCTTTTGGAAATATATTCATTAATAGTAAAATGTTTTCATTCTGAAGTTGCCATTAAGTATGGAAAAGGTTCTGCTCCTTCTCAGGCCAAATTCATGCTTCTCTGGATGAGCATGTTTACCCATCTACTTAGTAAATTCATTCACCATTTGCTCAATGAATCTTATTTGTTGTCTGCACCAGGTACCATTCTAGATATAAAGAGAACAAAACAGATCAAGTCTCTGCGTTCGTGGAGCTTCCCTTCAAGAGGGGAGGATTGTGAAGGGACAGATTTACTCATGCAGATATTATAGTGTGTTGATGGTGCTAAGTGTTAAGAAAAACATTGAAACCTGACAGAGGGAAAGGGATATCTGGGGTGGGAAGGTTCTGCTGTTCATGCCTTCTCTTAAAAAGGTAGCATTTGAGCAGAAACCTAAAAGAAGTGAAGGAACAAGTTATGCATATATATGGAGTGGAGTATTCCAGGGATATGGAGCCACGAAGCAGGAGCATGCCTGGCAAACGGGATGAAGTATATGGGTAAGAGGAGGAGTAGGGGGTGAGAACATACGGCAGTGGGGGGCCTGCTCACAGAAGGCCTTAGACATTATCATGAGGACTGTGTTTTGCATTGATTTGGGAAGCCACTGGAGGTTTTAAGGAAAGAAGCGACATGATCTGATTTAAGTTTTAAAATAAAAGTTTTATTATCTGTTCAACACAGATAATAGCAGAGCAAACATAAAAAATAGGAAGACAAGTTCAGTAGCCTATTTGGGGCATGAGTACATATGAAAAAATGCCTCTTCATAAACATAAAATTGGTTTTATAGTTCTGCTTACCGAGCTTTGGAAATTATTTTCATTCAGCTGGTGTTTTACTCAAATACAACTTAAATTTGCTATAGTAGCAATAGAAATGATTTTCTAAATGTAATGTGATATATACCACTGCTGTAGCGTGGTTGATTACCAGTGAAAAATAATAATACCTTATTATGTAAAAATAATAATTACAGAGTGAGAGTTTAAAAAGCAATTTTTATTCATTATCTCATCTAATCTTCATAGTTTTTTTAAGATTGATACAATGGCTGTTATCTCCCTACAGAGGTGGAAACTGAAACATCACATGCCAAGTTTGTGGCAGCGTGCCAAAAGAACTAAAATCCAGGTCTTTTCTCCTCATCTGAATCCAGTGGTTTTGTTTAAAGGAATCTGTTGTGTTCAAATGATGTTTCAAGATGTTGGTGGGGAGGGGGCTACTTACTAAAGCAGATTTAGTATATTGTTCAAAAAAACCATCAACTAGTGAGCAAGATATTATGCTTGGAAGAGCTACATACAAAGATATACAAAGCACATTCCTAACTTGTGAACGTATTACTTGGGGTGGTGATGCTTATAACAGTAAATATGATAAGTACTAGTAAAAAAAAAAAGTCATATACTCAGTTTCAAACAAATGGTACAGACAGTAAATAGTAAATGCTTTCACAATTCAAAGGAAGCAGTGGTTTTAATGGCCTGAATAGTTAGGGCAATAGGGAGGCAGGGTGCCTGAGCAGAAGAATGGGCAGGATTCAGGCAGAAAAGATTGAGGAAAGGTTTCTAAACCTGGGTTGAGGGGTGAGGGGAGAGGAGAACACATAGAATGAACAAAGGCTTAGTGATGGGGTTTTGGGGTTGTTTGGGGCGTTTGGGGTTTTTTTTGAGACAATATTGAACAGTTTACTCGGAATACAAAGGGTGGTTGAAAGGTGACTGCCCCTTTCATACATAAAATATTCCTGAAAACTAAGCTGAGTGGTGAATGTGCATAAGTCATACATGTAAATTAAGCAAGATGTTGAAGGGCTGAAAAATCCAGTGAAGTTCTTATTTACACTTGGCCATTTAAAGTATAATCTAGCAACTTTATAGTTTTATTCTCTCTCTCTATTGATGCACTTAAGTCAAATATTTGTCTGATTAAAGCTAAAGATTTGTTAATTTTAGCATACCTCATGATTTCCAGGCAGCTCCTTCCAGGAACTTAAAATATTTGTTCATTAACTGTGTTCATCTGAAGAGTAGTTTAAGGGTGTAATATATAAAAGAGCAGATTGTCGAAAAGAAAAACATTCAAAGTTGAAGGTCTATAATGAGAATTAGGTTTGGGGAAAAAAGACCAGGCTATGTGAAATCTAACATTTCTTTCAGTTCAGCAAACGTCAAGGGTCTGCTGTGGCTATCTATGATTTATATATATTGTGTTCAAGATGGGGACACATTTGAAAGCACTACTCTATTCTTAAGGAGTGTGCATTTTGGCTGTGGTGAGGTGTCAGAGTATATTTAATTTCCTCCTCATGGAGAAAAATGATGTAATGAAAGTGCTGTATTTAATATGTTGGTGGTGTAAGATTTATATTGAAATTGGGGAAACTGAAGGCAGAAAGACAGTTGGTAAAAGAGCTTACACCTGCATGGGCATATCAACTTGTATTTAGAGAGACACATACTCCCCACCAAAGGAAGTATACAGTGTATGTTATCTGAATGGAATGCCCCAGAGACATGTTCAATCGCTACCCTCTGATCACTGAAACAAAATCAACATGAAATCATACTGTGTGTTCATGGTTTTCATTCATTTATTTTCTCCTCCATCCAACAAATACTTATTAAGCATTTACTGTATGCCTTGCACCCTTTTAGGGACTGGGAATATAGTAATAAAGGAGACAAAGCCCTGCCTTCATGGAGTTTACATTGTACTGTGTCAGGCAGCACTAAATACTTAATGCGTGAGAAAGCACCTAGCATATTGCCTGTCATATAGTAGGTAGGGTTCAATCATTGTTAACTACAGAGTTTGAACTTGAAGTTTGAATTAAGTATCTACTCTTGGCAGGATACTTTGTTGGGATACCCTTTGGCAGGGTAAAATAGAGGAGATTAACTCATTTACAGATTTTTTAAAGTGTTACAGTAAAAATTATGAGTCCCATGTTCAGTTTTGGGGTAGTTAAGATTATATGCTATATTAAATATAACAAGATGTCTGTTCCTGACCACTTTTGCCACTGAAGATGTGAAGCAGGTGCTGTTCTGTACCATCAAAAGCAGTGTGCTCTTGTCCTGCTTGGATGATTTTTTGGGCTCCCTGAATTCTTGAAAAGGCTCATTGTTGTCACTGACGATGCTTCACAGAAACCCTTTGTGTCATTATTTACCAACTGACTGCCTGGGCAAAAGCTATGTCAATTCTTTTGTTAACTATAACCGCAGTCAAAAATGATGTAAGGGAAGAGAAAGCTAAATGAAACAAAGACTGATACGTGCATGCAGGCGCACACATACACACATCTTTTAGATCAATTTCAGAGTATCATCTGAAGTAGCATTTGTCACATAAAGCCATGAAAAAGCAATACTACATTTATTTTTGTCATTGTTTTGTTTAGGGAAGACCTGTTACCAGCAACATACAAAAGCTTTTTGCCTTGTTGGCTTCCTTTGGCCTTACTGTTTATTAAATGGGAGTAATAGTTTCATACTGAGAGCAAAATAAGCCCTTTTGTGTGCAAATTAGTTGCAAGATAACATTTTCTTATCTACCTACTTTTCCTAAAAGGTTAGGGATATGATGATGGGTGTATTTACTGTTGTTTGAAACCAAGATTTTTCACTTTTACTTGAAATAAACCCTTGCTTCTTTAGAAACCAGAAATGGTTGGAAGTGGAGGAGTTAGAATCTTACATTTATTTGCCTTCAGATAAAATGCTTTGCATTAAATCAGTGATTAGAATTTCAAGTTGAACAGATGATGCCATTTCTGCAGTATAGGACAGTGTGTGTGTGTGCTTTTTTTTTTAGAACGAGCACTGTAGATACGGAATTAGTTATGCGGACTTTTCTCATCCCTTTTTAGATGTGAAGCCCTCCAATATGCTAGTAAACACAAGAGGACAGGTCAAGCTATGTGATTTTGGAGTTAGCACTCAGGTAGGTCTCTGTTTCCTCCCCATCTGCTCTCATCTCTACAACATCTACTTTTTATTTTCAGTCTCCTCTCGTTATTGAAAAGTCACCTAGCCACCAGGCAAACAGAACTCTGCATCTTCTCCTCGGCTGGGAATGTGTTATTCATTTTTAATCTCCGAGCGAGTTTCCTTCATCAGAATATGATTGTTCATTGTTTAATGACAGTAAAAACTGCTGATATTGTAATTACTACTTACGAATAGCAAACTTCATTGATATGCAGCTTTGATATGAAAGCGTTTTGGCCAGACAAAGGGAGGGCAGAGTGGGGGCTGTGCCTGGGGAGCCCAACTGGCCCACAATAAAAATTAATATTGGGAGCAACAATGGTGGAGGGCCATTACAATGTGCAGCACAAATTTTAATTAATTTCCATTTTGGGCCTCCCCTGAGAACCCCGGTGATAGTGACCCATGAGCGTGCTGTGATGTTGATTTGAATTGCAGCCACCTTTACTCCCAGCCAAACACGAAGACCAAAGCGAAGGTCATCCTTGTATTATGAGTTGTCAAAGTCTGTTATCCCTCCAGCGTACTTAGTGTTCGTTTCATTCTGGTAACGCACGGGGCTTTATTCACATCTTGAGCCATTTGACTGAAAAATGAGTGTGTTCAAATTCTACTTCAAATTGACTTTTTATATCAAGTGGGTTTGGGGTAGTAAAGCGATAAGCATCCTGCTTAAGTGAATTGTTTAAGGTTATCTGCTATAAACTGTAATGCTGTGCTTGTTTAAATGGAAATCACATTCAAAAGAAAAGAGAGATTTAACTATTTTTAATGCCTTTGTAGATAAATTTGTTCCCTTTTACATAATTTTTAGTTGATTTATAGAAATGATGATTGTAGGTTAAATGAGGAATAATTGCCCATTTTATTTCCACATTATCTTTATATTGTTCTAACAGACTGTTTTGTCTCATAGCTGGTGAATTCTATAGCCAAGACGTATGTTGGAACAAATGCTTATATGGCAGTAAGTAAACTTATGCAAAAATAACATTTAAAACCAACATCTTTATCTTTATGTACTTGGTAATGTATAATTCCTGAATTAATTCCACAGCTTTAGCCTAACAGATCATAAGTTACAAAGTCAATTCAGTCATGATTCAATTTTTAAACCTTTCTAAAAGACATTAGAATTTATACAGTTGCTACCAACTTAGCTGACTTTGTTGACTTAACTGGTTGGCTCAAGTGTGAAATTGCTGAGTTTTAAAGTTTAATCTGACAGAAAAATTGCACCTTGTAGCATATTGGCTACTTTGCCACATTGCTTATTTAATTAACCTTCAAGTATACCAAATTGCCAGTCAATAAGATTGGTTGTTTTTTTTCAGGAATACAAACATGCTTTGTCACCAGATCAAAATTAAATTATTGATGTGACCAACTCTTACTTATGGATCTCTGAATGTAAGGGTTTAGCAGGCAGTTCTCTTTACAACTCGAATATCTATATTCTGTTTACTTGTTGGGTTCATGTCTATTGTAAGATAACTTACTAAGTTCCACTGAAATAAATTTACCAAGGATAAAAAGTAGAAGCATAGAACTGTTTCAAAAACTAATGTGGACTTGGCTTTGACCTTTTTCTTTTTTCTGCCTTTCAAGAGGGGAAGTTATATGTGTCCATAAAAATGCTTTTGCTTATTGGTTTTCACAGTCACTTCAAGAGTTGGGGGGTGGGGAGAGACAAACAGAGTCTCATTTTTGGAGCAGAGTTTTGTTTTAACATCTTTTTTTTTTATCCTCACCGGAGGACATTTTTCCATTTTTTGTTCAGGTAGAGTGGGAGGGAGAGAGAGGAACAGAGAGAGAGAGAGAAACATCGATGGCTGCCACCCGCACAACCGACCAGGGCCGGGGACAAACTGCAACTGAGGTACGCGCCCCTAGCGGGAACTGAACCCGGGTCTCTCTGTACCGCAGGCCGACGCTCTAACCGCTGAGCCAAACCGGCCAGGGCTGTTTTAACATCTTAATGTTAGTTTTCATGTTCAGGGTTTTAGATTTATTCAGATAGTCCATTCTGCTTCCAGTGGTCTTTATTTATATAGCATAAAGTTACATGGTGTTAGTTTGGGTGAAACCCTTGATTTTATTCTCAATAATCTTTTTGTTTGTTTGTTTTTGTTTTTTTGTTAATCCTCACCCAAGGATAATTTCCCATTGATTTTTGATATAGTGGAAGGGGGAGAGAAAGAAACATCAGTGAGAGAGACACATCTATTAGTTGCCTCCCGCACGACCCCAACCAGAGCTGGGGATTGAACCTGCAGCCCAGGTACTTGCCTTTGACCTTGGACCCCTCAGTCCTTAGGTCAGCACTCTAACCACTAAGCCAAACCAGCCAGAGCTATTCTCAGTAATCTGTGTTCATATATTATCTTAATAAAAAGATCTTAATATGGATGGAATCCTGGATTTTATTCTCAGAACAGTACTGAGCATTGTTATTATTTTTTAATCCTCACCCAACGATATTTTTCCATTTATCTTCAGATAGCTGGGGGGGGAGGGGGACATCGATATGAGAGAGACACACACACAGCTACTGATTGCCTCCTGCACAACCCCAACCAACCAGGGCTGGGGACTAAACCACAACTGAGGCACATGCCCTTGACCGGAATTGAACCCACAACTCTTTGACCCACAGGCCAACACTCCAACCGCTAAGCCAAACTGGCCAGGGCAAGCATTTTTTTTTTTTTTTCATTTAATGGAGATAGCAGAATAGTTCATTTTTGTTTTGTATTTCTTTTTAATCCTCACCCAAGGCTATTTTTCCATTTATCTTCAGATAGAGTGGGAGAGAGAGAAAGAGAGTAAGAGAAATGTTGATGTGAGAGAGACACATCAATTGGTTGCCTCCTGCAGGACCCCAGCCAGGGCCAGGGACCAAACAGAAACCAAGGTACACGCCCTTGACCACAATCGAACCCATGATTCTTTGGTCCTCAGGCTGACGCTCTAACTGCTGAGCCAAACCAACCAGGGCTGTTCTTTATTTTTTCTGTTTTTCTTTATTGATTCTAGAGAGAGGAAGGGAGAGGGAGAGAGAGATAGAAACATCGATGAGAGAGAACATCGATCCGCCTCCTGCATGCCCCCCACTGCAGATCTGGCCCACAACCTGGGCATGTGCCCTGACCGGGAATCGAACAAGCGACCTCTTGGTGCATGGGGTCGACGCTCAACCACTGAGCAACACCACCGGGCTGTTCTGTGTTGTTTTTAAAGAAAATTCATTTTTTCTGATTTTTCTAGGTAATGTGAAATTATTTATTTATATATATATATATATATTCCTCTAAAGTCATCATACCTGTTTTTATAAAACTTAGTCACTCTCCTGGCTCTACCAGGTAAGCTGAGATTGGTGTGCCACCTTTATCATTAACGAAACCCTGCCAAATGCCACAGTTTGAAAGAATATGGAACACTGTGTTTAAAATAAATAAATAAATAAAATGAAACTACTTCTCAGCCACCCATCATGTTCTTAGTAGTTTTAAATTGCTCTAATAATTAAATTGTATTATGTTTGAATGTACAAATCCAGATCACAATTGTCTTTCCCAGGTGTACATTAAAGAAATTACTTTTTCCTTTTTGTTTATGGATGAATGTGATGCGTCCATCTGTTAATTGAAGTGTGAGGATTAAAATGATGAAACGTTAGCTCGGATTGGCAAAGCTAAAATTGCTTTGCTTCTTGGGTGAGTGAATTCTAGTCATCAACTTTTTAGTTCAAGCTGTAAAAAGCTTAAGATACCTAGGAAGTGAAGAGTGATAGCCTGAAGTGAGCTTCACTCAACTCAGCAGGCTCTCGTTGGCCATGTACTTTCCTAACTGGTGTGAGGTCAGAGGTTGAGGTGAGGAAAGATAGAAATCACATTTGTTATTCTGTTATAGGTATTCATCTCTGCCTTGTGTCAGCTGAGAGTGTCATGAGAGAGAAGGGCTGGGCTTTGTTTTTTTTAACCTGTTGGTTCTCATTTAAAAAAAATTTTTTTTCTTTATTGATTTGAGAGAGAGAGGGAGGGAGAGAGAGAGAGATAGGAACATCAATGAGAGAGAACATAGATTGGCCGCCTCCTGCATGCCCCATATTGGGAATCAGACCCACAACCCGGGCATGTGCCCTGACCAGGAATTGAACCAGTGACCTCTTGGTGCATGGGTCGACACTCAACCACTGAGCCACACTAGCCGGGCTTGGTTTTCATTTTAGCTGGTCTATTTTGTAACTTTGAGTTCTACATGAAGATCTCTTCCAAGTGTCAGTGAACTACATACAATTCTCCGGCCAAATTCAGCTTATTGCCTATTTTTATAAGGTTTTAAAATTAGTACTAGCCCTGGCCGGTTTGGCTCAGTGGTTAGAGCGTTGGCCTGAGGACCAAAGAGTCGCGGGTTTGATTCTGGCTGAGGGCATGTACTTCGGTTGTGGTTTGGTCCCTGACCCTGGTTGGGGTCGTGCAGGAGGCAACCAGTCTATGTGTCTCTCTCTCATCAATGTTTCTCTCTCTCTCTCTCTCCCTCCCTTCCTCCCTCACTCCCTCCCTCCCTCCTTCCATTCCTCCCACTCTATCTGAAGATAAATGGAAAAATATCCTTGGGTGAGGATTTAAAAATAAAAAAATTACACAGTACTGTACAAACACACACAAATGAGTACAAGTAAAGCCAGTGAAATCTGAATAAACTGTAAACTGTACCAGCTTCAATTTCCTGGTCGTGATAATGTATTACAATACTACCATTGTGGGGAACTAGATGAAGGGTGCACAAAACCTCCCTTTATAATATACATTTTAATAACTATTGATAGATATCTTGAATCAATAAGTATTTCAAAATAAGCAAGCAAATTAGGAAAAGAAAGTTATGGCCCAGCTTGTGTGGGTCAGTGGTTAAACGTCGACCCATGCATCAAGAGGTTGCCAGTTCGATTCTCCATCAGGGCACATGCCCAGGTTGTGGGCCCGATCCCCAGAGGGGGGCATGCAGGAGGTGGCCAGTCGATGTTCTCTCTCATTGATGTTTCCATCTCTTTCTCTCTCTCTCTCCTTCTCTCTCTCTCTCTCTCAAACAATAAAAGAAAAAATAATTTTTTTAAAGAAAAAGTTGTGGAAACATGATCATACCCACTTGTTTTGCATATTGGCAGCTTTAGCGCCACAGTGGCAAAGTGGGACAGCGTGCCATTTGCAGCAGAGACCACATAGCCCACACAGTGACAAATATTTAGTATCTGGCCCTTTACAGAAAAAAAATATGCCAACCTCTGATCCATGCCAGTCAAAGCTATCTGAAACTGAGTACCTTCAATTAATCAACCAGTATTTATTAAGCACCTTCTGTTAGGTACAGTGGAACCACTCTAAACCACACAAGACATGGGCAAACAGGAACATGGTATTGTATACGGCCACATTATGTGTTACATAAGAAAGACTTGGCCCTTGCTGGTGTGATTCAGTGGTTAGAGTTGGCCTACACACCGAAGGGTTGCGGTTTCAATTCCCAGTCAAGGGCAAAAAAAGGGAAGAAAGAAAGACTGAAGTTGTACCAATCACACATTTAAAGAATAAGAAGGCCTACAGTGTGTGAATGTGATGATTCAGCAGTATGTGAGAGGGGCACTTATAAGGAAGAGATCACTGTGGAAAGATGAGCAACGACTCAGAAGTAGGTCATGTGACATGGTGGGCTGAAGAGGCAGGGTAACGGATAGTAATAAATGGTGGGAATATATAATTGATAGAAATGATATAATGCCCTCATTTTATATCCATCACCCTCACTGTATATTCATCCATACTTGTATACAGTGATAATAACAATTATAATAGCTAACAATGAACACTGTGTGCCAGTTACTCTTATAAACTGTACATATATTAACTCTTTAAATTCTCAGAACAACCCTGTGAGGTAGGTAATATTCTCATTCTACATATG